AAAAGATCTAGACTTATGGACATGCCGTAAATACGGAGAAATCGATTTTTACATAACCCAGCTATTATCCGGTCACGGATACTTCAAAAAGTATCTCCACAAAACGGGAAAAGTCGAAAAGCCGTCATGCCTATATAACGACCGACAGAAAACGACTCATCGCCATAGAAAACCTGGTTGGCCCAATAAACGCGGACAATTTAGTCAGCGTCTTGTTGGAGAGTGAATCAAACTGGGAGATTATGAAGAAATTCGCAGCAATCTTCCTTCGCAGCAAAAGCGGGACTTGGATTGCGGGTGTGCAGATGTTCCACACTGATGATGCGGAGGGAATTTTCCACCCCCTCACCCGCGAAAAAAAGGGTGTTTTCTACCGATTTTCCACAGCCATAACAAAAAGTTATTTACAGGGTCAAGCACTCGAAAAGCGATAAATTCGATTTGGAAAATTATTTTTATTTGTTTTAAAGTACAAAATGTGTGAAAATAATCATAAATTCAGGACCCATTCACTTTGACAGTCAAAAAACGAATCGCAAGCTGCCCGAATGTGACTTACGGTGTTTTGGCCCAATCACGGATAATGGCTTTCTTTAGTATCTCGATACTGGCGTATTTTTTACTTCGGACTTTGCTCTCCAAAATGGCCCAGAGAGAATAATCCATTGGATTCACATCTGGTGAGTTCGACAGGCGTTGTGTGGTCGTAATGAAGTTTGGAACGTTGTTTTTCAGCCATTCTTGGTTCACTCGCGCTTTGTGAGACGGTGCTAAGTCTTGTTGAAACGTCCATGGTTTGCGATCGAAATGTTTGTTTTCCGACGACTTCAAAGCAGCCTCCAGCACTCTTTCCCGATAATATGTCCCATTTACCTTGACGCCAGACTCGATGAAAAAATCGGAGAGCGCCCATCTGCGGTGACAGCGGCCAAAACCATTATTTGTGGCGGGTGCTGCCTCCTGGTGGCCAACCAATGTCTTAGATTCTCGTATGAACGTTCGATCAAGTAAACCCTATCATTTTGAGAGTTTACGAATTGCTCTATTGGAAAAATTTTTTCGCCAGAAAACACAATGTTTGAACTCTTTCGGCCAAACAAATCAACTGCTTCGCTCTCTCAAGTCTTACTGTCACTTCGTCGTGGATTTGGCTAAAGTATTTCGCACCTAATTTTTCGCAACTGTTGTTGATCACCCAATTAATCAATACCTCTCTTATGAATGAGCTTCAATCAACAATTCCAAATTTCAAAACATTGGACAAAAAAGATGTTCTAGGCGGGTTTGCTGTCACGAGAAGCACTACAAAATTGCAAATGTCGCGATTTTTTAATTTGTATTATCGAATAATGTATTTTTCCTCAAACTTTGCTGAAAGCAGGAACGTATCGTTTTATATTTTGGTTCGCTATTTGCAACGTTCTGCTGCGTTTGCAACCCTAGAAGTTATAGGGCATCAATTTACAGTTCGCGTTGCCCGTAGGATATTTTTTCCCAAAATAAAATTATATTCATGCAGAAAATTGAGCAAGTCTTCTTTACTTTCTTTTGTCATTGCATCATTTAAGCGCGATTCCTTTTGAATTTTGACACGATACACATGAGCAGTACAAACGATATGTTTATGATAACCAAATTAAATTTATTTAAAAAGAAACAATTAATAAGGAAATACAATTATAAATTAATGTAATTTTACATCAGTCGACCCGTCTTCGATAATTGTTGCTTTACGACTTCTCTCCAACAACTCACACTGAGTCGTATTTTTTGTCGCAATTAAATCAGAGGCGATTCTGTAGCAAATACGCTCAGAAGTGGCGTGACACCTCTGCCCTTCCTGATCTAAAACGTCCAGATGAATGCGATGAAACGGAATTGGCTTGATAAAGTAACCAAAATGCATAATACCTTCGTATTTACCTGAGCGTTGTTTCTGATAACAACACTTAATACATGCTGTTGTGTAGTTTTTAACGTATTTCCTCATTTGCGGAAACCAATATGTCTGTCTGATACGTTGTTACCCTTTGGTTGATGTTACGTTACCCTTTTAGGATGCCAAGTCTTTTCACTTTTATTTCTCAAACTGTACTGTCTTAGTCTTTTTCACCGAAGTCGGTTCCATATGCTCATTTTAACATACATTCATTTTCTCTGCTTACATGCTATGTATTTACTTATGTATATATCTTTGCAAATGGACAAACATAAAAATATGTGTCAACACAATGACGACCAAGAATGTGTTTAAATGAATACAAATGAACTTTAAAAGAGAATCAACAATAACTGAAAACGAATCTTAAGTTAACGGGGTATATCTACATTAACCCTTCAATGGTTTACTCTTTTATATTTAAATTAACCCGTCAATGGTTTACTCCTTTATATATAAGTATAATTAGAATAACTTAAAGTTAGGATGTATTATCATACACATAGTACTTATTACTACAATTCGGCCGTCCTGACCATGAGATCTCCTGATCTCATGCGCATTTATGTCTTGGGCCCCTTAAATTTTGGCAATAACTTTCTAGACACTCCCGCCGTTGAGTCAAAGTTTTTTATCATTTTATCATATTTAGCGCATATTCAACGGTTTCAATCACATTATCCCAATAAATTCCTTTTTCTGTGTCACACAGCTTGGCTATCATCGGACCTAGGCTCCGGTTCACTCTTTCTATCTTTCTATCTGTCCATTAGCCTGTGGAGAACCAGTAGCTATCTTTATATGTTGAACGTTTTCCTCTTCTAAAAAGTTTGTAAACTCGTTTGACGTGAAACAACTACCCCTGTCAGAAATTAGTACTTTTGGTCTACTATACGCGCGAAAGTAATCTTTGAGTGAAGTAATCACTTCCTTTGTATTAGTTGTTTTTGTAGTATATAAGCGAGTAAATTTTGTACAGGCGTCTATGACTAAAAAAATGTGCTTCTTTAGCCTCGAGCTATCTACAGGACTGATGATCTACATGTATAATTTCAAACGTTTTCTCTCATCTTAGCAAACCAATAATGTTTTGAAATAAGATCCATTTATTTACTTTTCTATATATAACCAAAATTCCTCATCTCGTATAAATTATGTTCACATTTTTGCAAAATGCCTCACAGTTAATTTAATTTCTCATCTTTTGCCTGACATATGATTAAATTTTCTTCAAAAGTGTTGGTCTCCACCAGTAAAATATCATTACTGCGGCTTAAAGCGTCAAACTGTAATCATAATTTTGAAGCTCTAGTCCCCACCTCGCTATTCTAGGATTCAATTTTTTTTTATTTAGTGTCATAGTTAATGAATTACAATCAGTAATTATTTTAAATTTTAAGCCTTGAAGGTAAACCCTAAATCGTTTGAGTGCATATATTATGGATAACGTTTCTAGTTCAAAGCTATGATATTTCGCTTCCGTCTCACTTGTTCTTTTAGAAAAATAAAATATGGGATGCATTTTCTCGTCTACTTTCTTTTGCATCAGAATTGAACCAAACCCTACTGCATTTGCATCACAATGTAGTTCTGTTTCATCCAAGGGATCATAAATCGCTAATATCGGTGCTTCCAATAACTTTTGTTTGAGCTCTTCAAAACTTTGTAGCTCTTTAGCTCCAAACTGAAATTTGTTGTCCTTACGAGTTAAGTCATACAACGGCTTAGCAATAATCGAAAACTTCTTTACAAATCGTCTGAAATAGGAACACAAACCCAAAACACTTTGTACAGAATGAACTTTAGTTGGAATTGAAAAATTTTTAATCACCTCTAAACCCTTTTCATCCGCTTTAACCCCTAGCTGTGAAATGGTGTACCCTAAATATTTTACTTCTTGCAGMAAAAATTCACACTTATCAATTCGTAACTAGAAATTGTTCTCGACCAATCTTTTGAAAACTTCTACTAATATTCCTAAATGTTCCTCCGCAGTTTCTGTAGCTAYCATTATGTCATCTAAATATATTATCACTTTATTTTCTTTCACCATATCTAGAAAAATCTTATTTACAAAATGTAGATGGTCCATTTAGTATATTTAATTGAATTTTCTTCCATAAATACATGGAAAAATCCGTTCTTTAGATCGAGTTTTGTGAACAACTTTTTATTTGCTACTCCATCTAACAGGTCATCTATCAAGGGAATAGGGTAATTGTCCTTTGCTGTGACCTTATTAAGTGACCGATAGTCAACATACATTCTGATGTCGCCTGTCTTTGTACGCACTAGTACAATTGGTGACACATATTCTGACTCACTCGGCCTAATTATTTTCTTTTTCAAAAACTCATCCAACAATATTTGTAATTCATTTTTTTCCGAATAGGACAAACGTCTCGGAGGACAGTTGAAAGGCTTTGCATTGTCAACGACCAACTTCATCTCACTTTTAATTTTAGGTTCAGCCGCGCGCTTTGGTTTTATATAATATTTACTTAAAATTTCATTCAATTTTTCGATATCGTTATAGTTCATATTCGAGCCAATTTTGAAATTTAATTTTTCATTAACAACGTTAGCTATCAATAAAAGTTGTTTCTCAAAATTTTCTTCTTTGCAATTTTTAGTCACTTGACTTGAATCTTTAATTACCATTTTACAGTTTTCTTTCACATTGCCTTTGTCGTTTACATATATATTCTTTAAATACATATCATAACATTATTATCGGGACTATCTTTTTTACATTTATACTTTAGTTCGGTTTTAATGTCGTGCCGACTTTTCGTCATACCTACATCACAACAATTTTTTATTTTTTCAGCTCTGAATAACTTAAAATTACAAATTCTCAAAAAATCTCTTCCCAATACAGCCTCATAATGCATGGTGCAATCATCAACTACTACAAAATTTAATTCAAATAATTCATTATTTATTCTAATACAACACAAAAACTTTCCATCAGTTACAATTCTCGTATTATTTAAACCAAAATAAAAAGTATTTACATTTGATAAAAACTCCAATTTCAAATTTTCTGCAACGCAAGATTTTTTTATGAAGCTGATTGGGCTACCTGGGTCGATCAGACATTCTAGTGAAAATGAAACATTTGTATAATCTTTTATAACAAAATGAAATAATCTTACATATTCATTAACTGCGTGGACAGTTTTCTTCTCTGGACATGTTGCTATTTGATGATTTCGACTGCCACACCCATAACACGTACCCATCTCTCGCTTTGGTTTACGGCATTCTGCTGCTARGTGTCCGCGACTGCTGCAGTTGTAACATCTTCTTTCTTGAATCTGCGACTGAGCCGGCGCAATCGGTTTTCTCCCAGTTTCAATTTTGGAAAATGCTTGGAGTAATTGTGCCTTTGTTTTGTAGCACTGCATATACGCTTGGTTGCGTAGCCGATAATCAGGTATGCCGTCGATTATGTATTCGGCCAACTCCTCTTCTCCCAGCTGTAGTTGGTTTGCCAATACCAGCTTATCGTTGAAATATTCAATAAACCGCTCACCCGACTTCCATTTCCTGGTCTCAAATTTTCGCCGCAGCACCACTCTGTTTTCACCTGAGCCAAACATTTGATTCATTTGACTGATGAGCTCATCTACTTGTTGAGTTGCGAAATCGGGGTTGTGCTTTGCCTTTCAGTTTGTTAAGAAATATAATGCTCGACTCGCCTTCATTTATAGTGTAGGCACTGGCGACGCTTTTGAACTGTGCCGCCCACAAATTGAAATTAACGCCACCTTCGTACTCGGGTATCAGATTTTTTATCAGGTCAAGTGAAATTGTTGCTTGATTCAACTGCGGGTGGCTCAATGTTTCACCACCAATCATCATTTGCTGTAGCATTGCATTCTCCCGCTCCAGCAAATCTTTTTCACGTTTCAATAAACTTGTCTCTCGCTTCAGTAATTCAACCTCTGTCGGACCTGCGTCTGCTACGCTTTTCACTGGCTGCTACAATTTTCCATTTGCGCAGCAGCAATGTCGTCCGTATCTGGTACAATCTGTTGATGTTCAAATATTGGGAGCAAAATTTCGTAAACTTCTGCACCACTTGGACACTCGCCACGTTCACTTGCAGGAACCTCTGTCAGCCGCAACACTAAAGTACTTTTATTACCACTCGATGGTAATTCAAGACGTCGGAGCCAAACACGCAATTGTGCAACTGTATGGTCTGCAACATTATCCATCTTAAAATTGTTTATATATATATATATCTTTTTAAATCTTTAAATTGTACACGCACTTTTTGTTCATAAAATTCATAAATTGTGTCATAAAATTGTTCGCTTCTTTGTTTTTTTTTTTCAAAATAGTACAAAAATTGTTAAAATAGAATTTTTATTATTTTTTTTTTTAAAGTTGGGCAAATCCCACTTCTGAGATTTTAGGATGCCAAGTCTTTTCACTTTTATTTCTCAAACTTTACTCAGCCCTATTCTTCAATTCTACTGGAATCGAAATTTTCACCGATTGGCAACTTTGGTATTCTGCGTTTCGATTCAACTTCGAAAATTCCAATTCTATGTATTCTGCATTGCGATCATAATTACGTTTTTGTACGTTGAAGTTTTGTTCGCGGAAAGCCGTTATACATTAATTTTCGTGCACTGAAATAAGATAATTTCCTCAAATATGTAAGTAAAACTTTATGATTATAGTTGTAAAAGTTATAATGGTGGTGTCCTTGGTTTTTTGTACTTTAATGATGTTTTTTGATATATTTGTAGGTCAAAAACAACAACACCAGAGCAATATGTAAAATTGGTTGATATAATGGCAACCAAACGAGATATTGCGCAGGGCTTCCAACAGCGACCGAAGGAAGAAGTGAAGGAGTTTTGGGAGGAAATTGCAAATGCCCTAAATGCACTTGGTGGATTGACTGGAAGTGCTACATAAAACGCAAGCTGTCTGCAAATAAAAATGAGATTATGAGCACAGGTGGAGGCCATTTGAGGAGAAGGTTATAGCTTTGACGGGGTTAGAAACTTGTACAAGTGGAATAAGATGTGCGCGGGATTATGGCGATAGTGCGCAGGTACAAGACGTTGCCCAAACCTCCGAAATGGACATTTCCGCATGTTCGGAGGATCGAAATGAAATTCGGATTTAGCAGATTTAGCAGCCAGCGCAGAGAAAGAACTGATAAGGAGAGCGCTTCTTCCTTATTCAAAGAACAAATATCTCTCCAGAAACAGTTTTACGAGGACACCAAAAACCATAATGAAGCTGCAGTTAGTAAAATGGAAGAAATTGTGACATATATACGTCGCATGAATCGTTCTTTAGAATGTATGGCGGACACCGCATTGAAGCAACTACAGGAACAGAAACGACACAATAAAATTAAGGAAGAATTGGTAAGGGAAAAAGTGGAAATAAAGATGCAGATGCTAAAGCTAGATCCAAATTATAAATCAGATTCGAAGTAATTTAGTTAATAACCTAAATTTTGTACCTGAACTTTTTTTTTTAGTTTTTTGTTTCAATTATCTTTAAGAAAGAAGCTGTGAACTGAACTGCTGTGAATGAACTGAATGTAAATTATTTTTTAATATACGAATAGTATATATACATTCATTTTAGAATTTAATAAAGATGTTTTTCTTATTGTACTCGTTTCTCAAATTTATTAAAAAGTAGAGAGTATATTGTCTCGAATACGATTTGCTATGGAAGTATAATCGGGGTCACTGCTTTGCTCTTCCTCCTCCTCCTGACGACTTTCAAAATTAAATTCACTTGTGTTCAAATATTCCACTTTGTAGTAAATGCAAATGTTGTGGAGGGCACAGGCAACGTTTATTATTTGACTGACTGTGTGTGGTGAGTAATGTAGTTCTCGAGCACCCAACAAGCATCGGAAACGGTTCTTCAATACCCCAATAGTCCGCTCTACTATATTCCTTGTTGTGGAGTGCCGCATGTTGTAATTACTTTGCGGGCTGCCTTGAGTTAGAGATCGATACGGAGTCATTAGCCAAGGCTGCAACGGATACCCCGCATCACCTGTTAATAAAGCGAATAACTATTCAAAACTTACTTTAATAAACGTATATAATAAATAAATACCTAACAGCCACGCGTTTCTTTCACCTTCCCGATATCGCCGTTCCATATGCGATCTAAGCCCCATACATGCGAGTCGTGATTGCACCAAGGATACCTGGCATCAATGCTTTTTATACGCATTCTGTTATCGCACACCTGAAAAGTGAAATTAAATTGATAAAACTAATGAATTTTGAATTATGGCACTGATGCGATGAACATTATTCTCACCACCATAGCACTGATGCTATAAAATCCTTTTCTATTTCCCCTCTTCAGATGGCTTCACTATTTTACTGCGCGTACCATCAATACACCTAATTACTCCTGGGAAACTAGCCTTCGCATAAAACTCCTGCTTCGCTTGCATTTTTTCCTCTTCACTCTGGTCAAATTTGATCCACTCACGGCAAAGCTTTCGTTGCATGACTTCGAGAAAATGAGACAGTGACTTTGACACAGTTGACTGACCCATTCCGACGTTATAATCAGTACCAACTCCATGTTGGTAACTGCCTTCCGCAAAAAATCTCAAAGCAGCCACTACGCGATTAAGCGGAGATAACGACGTCAAAGTACTTTGTTGAGTTTCTTCCGCAAAAGTATCTAGAATATACTTGAAAGCGTCCTTATTAGGTCTAAAGTTTTTTCTGAATCTAAATAAGTAAATCAATGATTAAGATTTATCTCTTTCAAACTCAATTTCTTACAATTCTGAAATGGATCACATATATCTCGCAATCTCTCCTTTCAACTTTCGCGTCAGCATTCTCGTATGCGTTGCCGTCCTCCTCAAGAAATATCGCCGCAGCTATCGATTCCATCACGCAATTATATGTATATTTAATTTATTTTATTTAAGCACCAATAGTTTTTCCACTAATTTGTATCTGTTTGCTTTATTTTGTTTTAATTTCACACATTCCAAGGCAAACAGCTGACTTCGAAAGAGCTACAGCTCTTCCTCCTCTTCTTTCAATCCAATCGTAACTCAGAATACCTACTTTCGATTCAGAAGGAGCGTAGAGCGGGAACGTAATCGAAATGCAGAATAGGGCTGACTGTCTTAGTCTTTTTCACCGAAGCCGGTTCCATATGCTCATTATAACATACATTCATTTTCTCTGCTTACATGCTATGTATTGACTTATGTAAAAATTTAACTTTGTTTTGGTTTGGTTTCGTTAACAAAACAGTAATAGGCTTCGAAATGAAGGAGTATTCCAAGACAAATTTTCTGAAAAAACCCCGTAAGACCTAAAAATTTGTAACCTCCGTCGTATTAGTTGGTGTTTTAAAATTCTTTATAGCGGCTACTTTCTGCATACCCGGTGTGATACCGTTCTCGTCGATGATATGCCTGAGATATTCTATTCGTTTTTCGAGAAACCTACATTCACACACAGTTTCCTTGGAATAATTTTGTCGTCCAAGTAAACTAACACTTCACCTGTATTGAGTTTCGACGCGATTTTGTTTATTATACATTGAAATATGGTCGGTGCATCACTAAGCCAAAAGGCATATGATCGAATTCAAAGTGACCATCTGATATCACGCGGTATACTGTTTCGATGATTCTTCGATTTCGATTTGGTGATAACCCATCCAAAGGTCAAGAATGCTAAGAATTGGTCTTCCATGTTCGGCATGGGAAATGATTGTTTAACCGTAATTATACCCTTAACAGGGTATATTAAGTTTGTAACACCCAGAAAGAAGCGTCGGGGACCCTATAAAGTAGATATATATTTTGAAACCGCCCCCGCCCATTTTCTTTGCCACGTCTGTATCGGCAGAGCAATCTTGTCTTTTCCTCTTATTCGAACTTTTTTCGAAGTTTTACCTCGCGCGCAACTAAACCATAACTAAAAGTTGCGCGCTCTCTTCTTTTTGCGACCGCTCACCGATCCAGACGTGGTAAGTGTTTGTCCAATTTATTGTTTGTAAAATATATTTATTATAAGAAACCTTTTGTTTTTTATTTAACATTTGTGGAATAACATTGCGCCGACCGTTTCYCCACGGCCAACCACATCTACGGAACGAACGAGCACCGTGCTCCACCACCCGAATTATCATTGGTCCTTCGAGCCGGATAACAGTTAACAAGTTGATTTTAATTAAAGTGAAAGTGCATAATTTGCCCGATTTAGCAACTCGCAAGTTACAATCAAACATATTTTGGATTTGTGCTCTGCAAGCTATAAGGCTTGTGCATAAGTTCTGTACAAAACCCATTGTGCTGTGTGAAGTGGAGACAAAACTTATTTTTGGCACTCTACCCTCAAAATCAACGCACAAGTCTGCAGGTAGTATTGTACTTCATTTAAGTACAACAATAAATACACCTGACAATTGCACTAATTACTTCACTTTGCATATAAAACAAAAAAAACTACACTATTATCCGAATAACTTTATAAATTTCTTGGACGCACAAAATCGTCTGGAGCGTCAACAATCTCTCTCGGTTTTTGTGTTTTCTTGTGGTTAATTTGAGTCTAGTCGCTCA